AAATATATTATGGTTCGAGACGTTATTAGTGCCTTCTCCGACAGCGTCGTACGATGAGACCGATTACTATTTGTGCCGACAAACCGCATCCTTGGTTTAAATGTGTAACAACTCGTGTGCGATCTTCTCTACTGTCTTCCGAACGATGATATAGCCTAAGGTTCAAACTTCCGATATATTATAGTACTATCGATGAGATGTATAAGCTGATTATTGGAACTCTTAAGCTAGAGTCTATATAGATCTTTTCTAACAAGTAACCAAAGATAGATAGAACCAATGAAAAAAAAAAATAAATAAAAATAAAAATCTCTGAAGAAAACTATTCAATGGTATCATTTCAACAAGTTCTTGACTTATTTTCTTTATGATCGTACACTACAAATAATTTCCTCTCCTCCACTCTTACCAAGACACCAAGTTTCTTATCGAGTTAAATAATAATTATCTTAGCTAATAATATAACGGACGGAATTAGAAATGATACTTATATTTCATTAAGAGAAATTTCAAATCACACACACACACACAATACTTTTGCATTGCAATTATTGGGATTGGGATTGAGATTGTGATTTAAATGATTCGATAATCACGAATATGATATTAAAATGTCGGATTGTATACAAAAAAAAATCAAACAAATACATATATATATATATATCTACTTAAGCATATGTGAGAAGATATTTAGAAATGAAAATGAAATGAAAATATCATAAGAATAAAGAAATTGTATAAGGCATCAGGATCCCCTAAAAAAAAAATTAAAAAAAAAAAAAAGCCTTCGTCGAATATCGTGCAAAATTCGAAGCGACTGATTAAAAAAAATATTCTCCACATTCCAGGTACCACGTGGACCGCACAGACCAGGCAAAGGTGCCTATTGGGCACTACACCCGGGTGCTCTGTCAATGTTCGAAAATGGCTCGCTTCTTCGTCGTCGGAAACGTTTTAAACTACACAAACCCGACAAGGAATTGTTAAAATCGGAACTGCAAGCGTTAGCTTCGGCAATGCCACCACCTTGTTCGGATCAATCACCGGTGAATAATGTCAGTAACAGTCCGACGAGCAGTACAACGGGGACAGGCTTGAACGTGGCGAGTTTGCATAGATTGAGGGACGATTTGTTACGTTGGGAAATGGAGGAAAGACGAATGATGATAAGTTCGGCTGGTTCTGGTAGCAATGCTGCTTTTCCGAACGGTTCAAGCCCAAGTCCAAGCGGATTCGATGCCAACAACGAAGCCGTTGCCGGATATTATCTGTTGTCGCCGGAAGTTAGGCAAAGATTGACCAGTACGGAGAGTAGCAACGAAATTTTAAGGACTTATGAAGCTGCCTTGCTTCAATCAGGAACATGGAACTTTTCCGCGTTTCCCGTATCACCTTACGTCTCTCAATTGTCTTATCTTCAACAAACAACGGGACAACTTCAACCAACGAACACCGAATCACCGGATACGCGTCGACTTTGCACACGTACATCTTTATCCGGACTCGACGTCAGAGAAAACAACGAACGAAATTTCTTACAAGATAATAATAATCCTTACGAATTGGGTTATCGCGACAACGTTAACGAGGATGAATCTTTGTCGTCATCGTCGAGGATCAGTGCGATTTATGGTAGTAGCAGCATCGTCACGGCACCACCATCTCCAACATCATCCATTTCTCCTGGATCCCCTATTTCTAAGAGTTATCGTACCAACAATCCTCGATCCTCGCCACTACTTAGCATTACTACCGACCAAATTACCAATTTAACAACGGATCATGTCACGTCTCAAACATCCTCGCCGAATAATCGAGATCCAATCGTTAATTTAACATCTACCATCAACAATACCAGCTTATCGTCTACTCTTGGAATTGGGAAAAAAACGAAAAAACCTTTCACCATCGAGAACATCATAGCACCCGACGAAAATGAATTGGCTTTAGAACCGAAAAGTGTGTCACTTGAATCGACGACGAAAAAGTCACCGTTATTAGCACCAAGACCACTTTATGCCGCTGGTTATCCTTTACCTGTTGCTACTTCGGCTATTCAAAGACATTCATACGGAGCTGCGACTTAAATAATTAATTGTCAAATTACAATTATTTGGGGGAATAGCTTATATTATTTCACTTTGAACGAACACGTGATTATAAACATACAAATTTTGACAAGATAGAACATCCTATATATCGTCTAAACTAATTCGATTTCTGTTCGTATGATCGTTATCTACTTACAGTATTGCGAATTTAATGACAGTAATCGTTTCAGTGTTTTTTTTTGTTGTTGTTGTTCTTCTTCTTATAGGCCATTTTGATGAACATCGAACGTTCTCCGGAATAAAAACGAATTGACTGATTTGAACGTTCACGATCCGTTATGTTAACGATAAGAAAAGTGTCTTCTTTTGGGATATTAAAAGTCAAGGATTGAAAGGACAATCGATAAGAAATATTTCATTCCTTTTCTAGTGTAACTCAAAGGAATGTTGTTGTTCAAAAGACTTTTCTCTTTCTATCTTTCTATCTTTCTCTCTCTCTCTCTCTCTTTTTCTTTATTTCTTTCTTTCTTTCTTTAGGAATCGTTTACTACCAGATTAAACAAACAAAAAAAGTCCTATTAAATTTCTTTAATTATACGCTGTAATGTGATAATTGTGTTGAACGACGAAAATTTATTTATTCAAAACACAACAAATGATATATACATAGTGTATGTTTAAAAACGAGATAAGAAATTTCGTAAAAAAAGATTAGAATTAATTATTACCTTCTCGTCTAACGAAGGTATAAATAACAAAATATCACGTTATGTATTATTATTATTATTATTATTATTATTATTATTAATTTATTTCTTTGACTTTTTTTACTAAATAATTTAAAATGATTCTTATTGAAGAATCTCTTTTGCTTATGAGTTGTAAAAAAAAAAGCTTTACGAGTATATATATATATATATATATATATGTGATTGTATACAACGATACAACGATTCTTTTTCGCGAAAGAAAAAAAAAAGTATATATTATGATCCGTTTTGTGCACATAGAATGAAAAGTTAGGTGATCGATGAGTAATAAAAAGGCAAGAGTAAAAGAAGAAAATAAAAAAAAAAGAAGAAGAAGAAGAAGAAGAAGAAAAAATAAAAGTATGAAAACCATGGTTGATATACAAATGGGTAGTAGGACTCTTTCAGTTTTACAGTGGAAAAGTTGAAAAGTTTTCTATCGAGATTAGAGAGAAAAAGAAACTCAGAGACTTGCTATAGTTAAACCACGTGTTTTACTATGGTATAAAGGTAATTGTATTAGTTAAAGTGTATAGACACTTTCTCTCTCTCTCTCTCTCTCTTTCTCTCTCTTTCTCTCTCTTTCTCTCTTTCTCTCTTTTTTATTTATTTCTCATGATCGTTCTCGTCTAACTAAGTGAAGAAAAGAAAGGGGTTTATTTTTTTTTGTTTTTTAGTCAAGAGGGAAAAATACGAGATACTAAAAATGAACAAATAACAAAACAAAATAAAACAAAACAAAAAAAAAAGAGAAAAATCAACTATTCCGATTCTTCTTCGTAAAATGCAATTTACTCTACGATTATTCTATTAAATATTCTCCGGAAGAATGTATTTGTAAATGTAGAGTATGATGATGATTATGATTATGATGATGATGATGATGATGATGATGATGGTGAAATATGCGCGGTTAAATAAATTATTGTATATACATGTAATCAATAAAAAACAAACAAACGCGATGTTATATTATTCAATTGTCAATACACTCTCATTTTACTCTTATATATAAATATATTATATTTTATGTAAATATGATGAATAGTAATAATTAGTAAAATTTAGTTAAATATTTTATTGATGAAAGATTTTAATTCGTGTCCAGAAATGAACAAATTATAATAATAATAATAATAAGTGAATTATAAATCACAAAGGTAAGATTTTTCTTTAGATTTTATTTGTTTAAAAAAAAAAATTTATTATTTAAAATCAACTGATAACCATATTGAATAAAATGATAAATAGATCGTAAAAAACGTTCGTTGTATTAAACAAAATTCATTAATTTTTACAAAACAAATTTTAAATACGATTCTGAGACAAAAAATAATGAATAGAAGAGAACAAAGTATAATATTATTAAAAAATTAATTGAACAATTTAAAATACGATTTTGACAATAGAAAATATTATAGAAGATAACAAATTATTATTAAGATATTAAATGTACACACACATACAAACACATATGCAACGTTAACCCACCATTGGAGACCATTTGCAAATCGTGTGTGCAACCATACCGAACTATTATCAGTTATTTTATATTTTTTTTTTTTTATATAAATAATATCTCTAATTTAATTAAATAAATAATCTCTATACTCTAAATAATATTTCAAACCAAAATTTGACATTATAAAATTGGCAATACAATAAAAAAAAAAAAGAAAGAAATGGTTTCTGGTAACCGTGTTCGAAAAAAAGTCGTGGTTTCAAATAGATTATAACAAGAAGAACAAATTATTTCGATTAAATTCTAACTCTTTGAGGATAAATTTTGAAATATAAATTATTAATATTATTATTATTATTACTATTATTATTATTATTATTATTATTCGACATAATAGGATGTGATAACCGATGATGAGAAGATATCAGCGAGATGAATTAGGTGAAATAGGAGGAAAAAAGGACGCAGGATGGCATCCAACATATATATATATATATATATTCAAACTATATATATATGTGTGTGTATGTGTGTGTATGTCAATTAAGTGGAAAAACGTGTTGATTTCACGCATGGCTCGGAATTACCGAGCACAATGGAGATTGTTTAAAAGCGCTTTGTTGCCGGGAATGGGAAATACGGACCACCGCCGGACCCAGGGGCTTCATTTCTTTCTCTGATGCCCGGAACCCTCCTCTTCCAAAGAGTGAGAGAGTGAGAGAGAGAGAGAGAGAGAAGAGCAGCTTTATGTACGTGCGTGTAATAAAAAGGATTACACCCCTGCCTTCTATTTCTATCGACTCCGTGCTGGATTTTAATAGGATGAACTGCAGTTTCGTGTTTACGCGTTTGGTGGCCTCGCTCATTTTTTTCTCTTTCTTTTTTTTTTTTTTTAATTTTATTTTTTAAATTCCTTTTTTTATTTATTTATTTCTTTCTTTCTTTTTTTTTCTCTCCCTCTCTCCTCTCATTTTTTATCCTCACAGGATTCTTACAATGCAAGCGAATCAACAACCTATCGAATTCCACAGAGTCGATTACAAAACTGGTTATACTTATGGATATCGGAAGAGATCTATCATTATTTTTCTTTTTCTTTGCCTTAATCCCCCTCACCCACCCCCCTCCTACCCCTATGAATTTGGTCTCATTATAAACTTATGAGAAAAAAAAATATATATATATATATATATATATATATATATATATCTTATTCATTGATATGAAAGAATTGTTTAAAATATCAGTTCTTATTGTGATGTTTATTCTGAGAGTAATTAATAAATATTAGTCAAATGAAAAATATTACGTAATTTTAATATATATATGAAAATAATTAACGAGAGATTTTAATTTGATTAAAATTATATAAATCAATCGACAAAAAAAGAAAAGAAAAAACGGTATCAAGAAAAAAAAACTATACCAAGTGTATCGGTCATGATTCTGATTTGATTTTATCTACTTCTTCCATATTCTATCATTTTTTTTTTTTTTTGGTTCTAATCGTAAAGACATTTATTTTGCGAAATCTAACGTTACGACAAAGATGTTTTTTGTGTGTTTTTTTTTTTCTTTTTTTGATTGGATCACTGTTTGAAGCGATAAAAGTACGTTTGCGGTATGATTAGAGAGAAAGATCTTGGCACACTCTCAAAACTGTCCGCAAATATCTTTTTCGTGCATGAAATCGACGAAACGAATACTCCATTTATTGTCGTGAATAAAATGGAATTTGGAAAAAAAGAAAAATAGATATCTATCTTGTGTATATGTGTATGTATATGTGTATATAAGAAAGAAAGAGAGAAAGAGAGAGAGAGAGAAAGAGAGAGAGAGAGAAAGAGAGAGACAGAAAGAGAATCCTTTAACACTAACTGCCGGATGTTGTGGTTTCGATTACGTATTGAACTCTCTCTCTCTCTCTCTCTCTTTCTCTCTTTTAATGCTCCCACTATATTTTTTTTTCAGAATAAAACTTTCATGATAGTCGTACAGAGAGAAAGAGATCGGCAATCCGGGAAAACATCGAATCGAAGATTTTACGGTTGGCGATTATGGTAAAGACTCTGGTGTATTCTGCAAAGATCATTTTCTTTCAGATATCCCCCCCCCTCCCTTTCCGTTATTTCGCGGTGACAATTTTACTTTGCGGCTTTTTGTTATCTTCTTCTCGCTCAATCTGAAACTTTTCATTTTCGAAAATATTAATAAATACAAACTTTGTATGATAGGTAAGTTGGACAGGTAAAAAAATATCAGAATATATTGTTTTGATCATGTTGAACGTTTCGTACTCTTTTATTTGGGATTTCTTTAGCAACTATGAAATGACATAACCACATAAATAAAATGACAAAATGACATAACTTCAAAAATATATATTTCTTCAAAACGCTAAATATATAATAATATTATAATATTATTAATATAAATATATTATTAGATATAATAATATTAAATTAATAATATATATTATTAGTAAAATATAATATTAATAATAATATTTATATTAAATATATAATTATATAATAATACTAAAATATACATACTCCTTCGAATCGCTATAAACAAATAATAATATAATAATATTAAATTTATAATATATTATTAGTAATAATATTTATAATAATATTTATAATTGATATATATA